TTTGATTGCCTATCTGAACAATGTAGATTAAGGACACCTATTGCCCTTTCAGCAATAGACATTCCATTTGATTGATTAATATTAAAAATACACTTTAAGGACACTCGATAAGAATGTGTTCAACATATGTATGATCTAAATAATTAGTTATTTATTTATGCTAAACAATCTCAATTCCGAAGACAGTCCAGTTAGTAACAATTCGTTTGTAATAGCATTTTAATATTTGACTACATGTAGCAAATAATACTAGTACAAGATATTCCTCCATTATTTATTTACAGAGTAAGTTTGTATGACAAGTCATTAGGTCGTTAACATTTATGTGCCACATTTTCTGACTTTCTGTGTCTAGAACTAATGGGGTGCACATTTACAGCGCCGATACTTAACGCCTCTCGAAACACATTATCATCTTGCAGTTGAGTAAAAATTATGACGCTCATTTGTTTAAATCAAATCCCAACATATATATGATAAATTAATGAGACTGGTTGATAGTTTCGAATGCGAGCCCAAATTAATCGAATAATAAAGTGAATAATTTATGCACTTAAATGTCAGCCGCATTCATGCCTTCATATTAATTCATTAAAAATGTATCTTTATTTCCAATGGCTTTGTGCTAAATAAAAGATATACTTAAGTAATTAGTATGCACATATATATATTGAAAGGAAAGGCGAATGTTTGTTTACTTTTATTCTGTATCCAGCTGAAGAATGTTAAATTTGTTTGTGAGTACACATATATAAGCCAACTGCTAATTTGACCAAAATCTCTGGTTAAGTGCTGGAAAGCGCGGCCAGAATATAATAACATAATGACATAATAACAACATAATAACATTGTACTTTGATTAAATTGGTAAAGAGTATTTATGGCTTTTGCAGATGAATATTCTCTGAACATTAATGGCTGAAAAGATTATAAAAACCTTCGGCAAAGTATGTAACAGATAGAACGAAGCATCTGTGACCTCATAATGACATATATTCTTGATCAGCTTCAACAGTCGAGTCGATTTAGCCGTGTCTGTCTGTCCGTCTCTCTGCCAGTATAAACTGTGTGACAAAGTGGAGATGTGTGGGGTGCTTTTCCCTATATTACTACCCAATAAGTATATTACAAATAAGACGCATAGTAAAGCGGTACATCCCATGAAACCGCGCACCATAAAATGGTACACCGATGGATCACTCACGAATCAGGGCACCGGGTCCTCGGGTATTTTACCATGAATCCCTGGGAACGCACACCAGCATATTTCAGGCTGAGGACATCAACATAGAACGTAACTATCGGAATACGGATATATCCATCCTATCCGATAGTCAAGCAGCATTGAAAGCTATAATGGGGACTAAGATAACATCGAAGGTAGTCCATGAAGTTCGTTCAAAGCTAGACCTGCTCGGGACTCACAACAGGCTCACCCTACGATGGACCAGGACCAGAACCGTATTGTGGCATAGGGAGACACACTATACGACTGGAACTTAGAAACGAGGAGAGACAGAGACGGCATCAGAGCTGGTCAGAGGCAGTAGGACTCCGACAAGCCAGATGTCTCCTTGGTGGTTATAATCTTGTACGATTTAAACAAATTATAACCATGGGAAAGAACAGCCTTAGGATACTCACCGGTCTATTGACAGGACACTGTAGACTAAGGAGTCACCTGACAAAATTGGGTATATATAGTAGCGATCTCTGCAGGTTTTGTGAAAGAGAGGAGGAATCCTCGATGCACATCCTGGCAGAATGTGTCGCCTTAATTAGAAGAAGAAGCAGCATCCTAGGGGCGCATGTCTTGAATTGCAAAGACATAGAAGACCTCAACCCAACAAAGATCCTCACGTTCGTACGGGAGTTGGGGCTGATGGAAGAGCTATAGGCTCAGAAGGGGGGCACAATGGATCAAATATGTCGCGGTGCAGCTTCCCCCCTAATAATAATAAAGCGGTACATTTATTTATTAAAAACTGGACAGGGTATTTTATAACATTCAGAAATAACATTGCTCTGACTTTTGGAAAATAATTCACCTTATTGTACAGAAAATATTTAAAAGGATCCAGAAAAGGGTACTTTCTAATTTTAAGGACTTTTTTTATTGTATATATAAAAATAATTTCTAAAAACCACAAAGTTTTTCTTGGTTTTACCAAATTTATAAATCACATATTGTAGTGACTTGTGTCAGTTTGTATTGAGTGCATTAAGTTAAAAATCTGCTGAAAAATGAATTGATAAATCTCAAATTTTTTTTGCAAACTAAATATATAATATATATATATATATTCTCTTATTCTATTGAAATATCTTTAACCCAAATTATGATCTAAGGTTAGCTTTTTACTATTTTCGCAATCTTCCTTTAAGACCCCCACAAAATCCATTCGAATCCCATTTTATCCTCAGATCTCCCTATTTTCTCAGCACGCTCAAAATTATAAATAGTGACATTCCTTAGGATCCCACATTAGCTGCAAACAATTTTGTTAAGCTCCAAAGAGTAAAGTTTTCAAATTAAAAGTTTTAGCTTTATACATTAAAGTTTTTTATTTGCCATAGACTGATTCATGCGTAGATTCAAATGTTGGTTTAATTTAAAATGCAAATTGTGAATTGCATTTAATCTGTATTTGGTTTGCTATACCTGCTAATCATCAGATTAGATTGCACTGGCGGTGTTAGTTTTAATTTTCATATAAATACAATACAAATTAATACAACAATTTTTCATTTTGATTTCATAGATGTGCTTAGAATTTCTAAAATATTTGTATCAATATCAATATAGTGTTACGTTAATATTTGTATAATTCAAGATGTTGAAGTTTTCTTTTTAAATATTTTTATTTCGATTTGAATTTAATTTTGAACATAATATTTCACAAGAAAACGCTCTCAAGAGATGTGAACCAGACACGTTCGCAGTTTAAGTTGATTTAAAAGTGCATTAAACTTGACCAATTCATATCATTCTCGATCTACCAAGTTACAAGGCATTACTTCAGTTTATATGACCGATTGTAATTCTCAGGTGTACATTTATGACCATCCTGATTGACTACCATCCATCGATAGGAACAGGACTTACAATCGATTTATCAGGCAATCTTATCCTTGATATAATTACTCAACCAAGAATCCCTTCCAATTTCTCTTCTTAAATTTAAAACTTACGCCAATCATCGATTTACTTCTCAATCCATATCTGCAAACATCAAAACGTGCCTTCCACATCGTTATAGACAAATAATGAAGATTAGAAACAGAAAATATTAAATTATTGTATTTTGTATTGGCTATGGGAGAGCAAGAGGAAGTATCTGTGCGATGGGTTGATCAGAACTTACAAAAACAAATGGGTACCCATAGCTTATATAAATATATATATTCTTAATCAGGTTCAACAGTCGAGTCTCTCTAGTCATTTACGACCTGTCCGCCTGTCTATCTGTCTGATCTGCAACAAAATCAGACTATAAGAAATACAGACTTCAAATTTGAAATGTAAGTTTCTGTCCGTCACTCGCATATCAAGTTGATTTAATTTAATCGATAAATCTCAATGTTTCGGGAATATCGATTCAAATCAATTCACGAAAACTAATAAATTACACACACATTTTTAAGTTATTGTATGCTACTTGGTATATAATATTTAACGATAATAACCGAAATAACGTTGTGTTATTTCATACATCATACATCATCATACATCATCATATAAATGTGTGTGTGGAGATGCACGTCGTTGTCGCAATTTGGTGATTTCAGTTGGGGCTTGAGAATAAATGCAGAATGCACTGCCTTAGTTAGTTCAACCCTTTCGAACGTGCAATGAGAGTACTTCCATGCATGCTTACATTTGAGCTGAGTGCAAAGCTTCTTAAAGGGAAATTTGGCAATAAAACTCGAATATTTCTAACAGGTGTGTTCAGGGTCGAGCTCACTCGACTGCAGCCTTTCTCAGTGTGTTCTAATGTGATTTGCTCTGATTTGCTCAGCACTTATAACTACTTCAGTCATTTCGAATGCTGCAGAGGTGAGCTTAATGCGTGAGTGCTTGCCCCGGTTGCAGGGGCATTCGGAGGCAGCAAATATTGCATTTACGCAAACAAGATTGTTCCGCGTTTCATTTTTCAGCAGTTGGCATTTTGACGCTGACATTGACACACACTAACGATTCCGCAAAAATGTTCACACACACAAAACACACACACACACACACACACTCAGACACACACACTCGCATGCATAGAAGCTGTGGTTGTTGTTGTTGGTGTTGTTGCTTGCTAATACAGCAAGTGATGGATGGCCACAGAATTTGTTGTTTTTATTGGACGCGGCCCTCTGGCTGTGCGGAAACTGTGCGTAAAATTTAGCAATGCCGCTTGTTTTATTTTATAATCAATCGTTTTTGTTGTTGAGGCTGCTGTTGCTGCGCAAATAAATGGCAAGCAAACAAAACAAACATATACTAAATAAATAAAATTGCCCAACCCAAATCAAACGGTATGTCGCTGCAATGGCCATAAAATAAATTCAACAAGCAAATGATGAATCACACTTGCTATAAAACTACACACACAGCACACCCCTGACCCAACTGAATAAATCTATATATATATATGCATACATATAATTATATATATATATATATATATATATATGTGTGTGTGTGTGTATACCAAACAATAATACGCTGTGTCGTGTGCGATTTGTTGGCACTTTGAGGCACGATAAAATATGCAACAAATGAACATGGCCAAAAACAGAACCGCACCAGATACGTTGACACGTACGAACATGTTGCAGTTGGCAACAAGCCAGAAATTAGCCAGCTGCGGTTAGGATAAGAGTTCTTCAAGCAATGCCCACAACATATAACAGGGCGAGAGGACCTCTGTGCCCCAACAAAGCAACACACACACACAGAGAGAGAAAGAGAGAGAGAGAGAGAGAGAGACGGGCATACAGTGAGAAAGAAAGAGACAGGGAGAGAGAGTGCCAAAAGCAAATGGTTAGCCAAAAAGGTCGACATATTCTTAAAGTCCACAAAGTGTACGGTTGTACGAGCCAAATAAGATCTGTCGACAGCTGCTGGCAAATAAATCAACAAACTTAGAAATTTGCAGCTTGGTTGGGGCTGATAAGTAAGTGAAAATAATATTTTTTCAGATTGCTTACGACCAGTTTATTAACTCGTTCAATTTAATTTTCAACATTACAGCACACCCAAAACTGTTGAAACCGTTGACGAATTACTCGAATTACTTTTTACAGTAAGCCCTCTTCGATCCATGCTCAATAAATCTAGCATAAATTGAAATAAAGTTGCGAACCAAATTTCAATGTTTTTTTATTTTTTGGATTTATTTGATTTATTTTAATTGTTTGTTTGTGTACAATTTCTTTTTTTGAAATTGTAACTTGATTTTTGCAATTTGACTCTTTTAGGTGAGTTACTTGAAGATCCTCTCGCAATAAAAGCTTGTAAATTGCACAATCAACTCACATATTCCAAACCAAATCTATATATATATATAGGAAGAAGAATCGGAAGAAGAAAGATATTCAGATAATATATATATTTATTTGATTGTGAGTGTGTGTCTGAATGAGTATGTTGGTTATTTTCTCTATACCTTGAGCCCATTAAAAATGGGGAAAAAGGTTTAATGAAGTTATGGAAATAGAAATCGAAATCGATGTTTGTTGCTGGCGAATAATTGGGTACGCCTTCATGTAAGCAAATAAGTACAGGGTAGACGCTAGTCGACCGATGCACTCGTATGAGCCTTGCTTTGGTGTTTTTTTTATGGCTGTCGAGTCCTCGAATCGAGTGTTACCCGCTTGTTATGTTTTGTGCGCATTCTGCGCCATTTGGCACATTGCCTTGCATATTTCAACAAAAAATAAATAAAAATGAGAAAAAAAAATGGTGAAAGAAGAGAAACGAATACATTGAATGCAAATTTGAATGATTTATGGCATTCAAAAGTGCAAGAAGAAAAAAGAAAGAACGAAGCAGAATGCTACACAGATGCATCGCGTACGAAATGAATTATTCCCTTCATCTATTTTCCACTTATGATTTATTAATTATTTATTATTTTTTTTTAGTTTTGCTGTAGACAAATTAAAAATCAGCGGCAACCAATTGATGAGCATTTTTGCTGTTCTCTGTTTGCAGCGGCGAACGCGAACCCACTGCAGGGCACCATCAATGTCATTGGCATCATCAGCAGCCCCAACAATAACAACAATAATAATATAAATAATAATAATATTAGCAATAATAATCATAATAACAACAACAATAGTAACGACAACGGCAGCATCATACCCGGCGACTTAACGCTGTCGACCGCAGCCGAAGCAGAAGCTGCAGCTGGAACTGCAGCTGGTGTTGGAGCAGGAGCAGGAGCAGTTGGAGCCGTATCAGGAGCAGGAGCAGGAGCAGGAGCAGTGGGGCCCGTGGATCACAGCTTTGTGGCAATACCGTTGTTGGAGCGTCGGCGTCGCAGTCGCAGCCACAGTCGCTGCCACATTACGCCGCTGGCGCCCATCATTTGCATACAACAGGGCGGCGGCCATCCCGAGGATCTAACGCAACTGTCACGCTCCGTGTCGTGCTTCGTCCGCTTTCGCAGGAGCTTCGCCAAATGTGAGTGCCTGCCCCCATGCACTCGCAATCCCCATCCGCGATGCTTATCTGCATTCTGTGCATTTGCTAGTTTTGTTTACCCAACTGCAATCACATTAGAAGCTTTTCATTTGCATTCAATTGAATTACAGAATTTTCCTTTTTTTTTTGTTTGCATTTGAAAATGAAGTCTTTCCTGCATTTTATGCGCTATTTGCAGTTTTGGGCAAAATCATGGGCAGCAATAATCCCAGCGAGGCGGATCGATATGACTATTATGATTGTGAGTAAATATACAAATAATTTTTGATCTATTTCATCAAGTTTACATTACCAAATGACGCATATATGCTGGGCAATCTACTTCGCTTGCAGATAATTATAAATTCTATATGTACACTGGTCGTTGTCTGAAAAATCGGAAATACAGACCTCAGTCTGAGTGTCTTGTGTTTTCACATTTTCGATGTACTTTTAATCCAGATGTCATCACAAGTTTTCTTCTCTTTTATTTTATTTATTATTTTTTGTGTATTTCAAATCTGTAACTAGGCGTAAACAAATTTCTGCAAATTGGCCTATTTTTGATTAAGTTTTGGCTGTGGAAAGTGTTGAGACCATAACTTGTCTCTTAAGCGATGGTTTCTGTGACAACTACAAATGTAGTTACAGTGATCCAATCCTGGCGACTCCGGCACATATATATACGTATATTCTATAGTCCAAATCTGCATCATTATTGCATTAAATTGACCAGGAGAACTGATCAGAAATATATATATATATATATAATAAACATGGGCTGAAAGACGTCTCCTTCAATGTGTTACACACTTTGCGCAGAATTAACAAGCCCATTCAACTTATAATTGTTTTACTCTATCGAAACATAATTCGATATAAATCTGTTGCTCAAGCAGACTTTTGCTGCTGCACGAACTAAACTAAACTAAACTAAAGCAAAGGAATAAAAATAAAAAATGTGGGTTAAGTAAATTTGGTTTTGTGTGGATGGTTTTTAAAATGGTTTCCAACAAAATTAATTACGGTTGGTGAACACTAAATGCTGTTTGAGTGGTTGTTTGGCAGCTTGCAACGGCATCAAGTATACGCCATGTAGAGGAGCTGATGATGCAAAAAAAAGCAAAGGGGTTGATGGGAGGGTGGTAAGGTGGTAGGGGGGCGGTAAGCGAGCATATATTGAACAACATGAATCCATTACAATATTTGCCTCGTTCGATTCTTTTGTACCGATTTTGCGATTTCTGCTTTTTTGTTTTTGTTTTTTGTGTTTTTGTTTGTCACTCTCTCTCTCTCTCTCTCTCTCTCTATGTCTCTCTCTCTCTCTCTTTCTCTGTCTGTGTTGCTTGCCGTCTCTGCTTGCGCCTGGGTCCTTTATGCGTGGCTGGCACTTCAAACCGAGCGGCAAGTGGCTGTGAAAGCCAGCAGAAAATCAATAAGACCCCAGAGACAATGAGGGGGGGTTGATGGGTTGCGGGATATCTGTATGGAGGGGTTGAGTCAAAAAACGGTGGAGCTGATAGACTAGAAGATACACAGCAAGACAGAGACAGCGACACAGAGAGAGACAGAGAGAGAGAGAGAGAGAGAGAGAGAAATTGACATTGGGCATAAGTAGTATTTATGTTGGTATCTAAATATCTTCAGTCATCTGTCAAATATCACGTTTCTTGTTTACACTTTTCTACTTCTACTTCTACTTCGACTTCGACTTCGACTTGGATTTGGTATTCGACTTCGAGTTCGACTTCGACTTCGACTTCATCGACATTGCCAGGGACATTGTCTCTGCTCCTCGTATCCATCTTCTTTTCGTATCCATCTGAGTTGCTTTTGTTTTTCGTGTTTGCATTTGGCATGCTGAGTGTTGAGTGCCGCTGCGGCACATTTGCCAACACGTACCCTGCCTGCCGTCTGCCGTCCGCCGTCTGCTGCCTGCCGTCGGCTGCCTGCTGCCACATGCAAACAAGAGCCGCAAACAATAATAGCAGCAACAAGAATAACAACCTAAACACGTCACTCCTGTATAACAAACCAAATACACGTTCCATCAATTGTGAAACAGAGCTAAGCTTTTCACTCAGCCCACAATCAGCGCTCAGTGCAAGGTGCGCATTTATTTAGTATTCAGAGGATGATATTTTGACAATTGAACAAAACAGCTGAAAATAATATCAAAATCCGATTAGCAACAACAACTTTCAATTGGCTTTTTAAGTCTATAAACTATAAACTATATAATAGTCCGGCTATGTGTAAACGCATATAAATGGCGATTCATTTGTTGCAACTAAAAACTTTTAATATGAGATATATTTTAAATATAAAGAATATATATTTATATATACATATATATATATAAATTTCGACAGGCGCTGATTTTGTATTAGTAGTTCTGTTGTCATAGAACGACTAAAACTGATTAGTTTCGAGCAGTTTTTCATTTAGATTATGGTCTCCTTCATCGTTATTATTATTATTATTATTATTATTATTATTATTATTATTATTATTATTATTATTATTATTATTATTATTATTATTATTATTATTATTATTATTATTATTATTATTATTATTATTATTATTATTATTATTGTTATTATTATTATTATTATTATTATTATTATTATTATTATTATTATTATTATTATTATTATTATTATTATTATTATTATTATTATTATTATTATTATTATTATTATTATTATTATTATTATTATTATTATTATTATTATTATTATTATAATTATTATTTCAACATTTATTTTCTATGAATAACAAGTGCTGGCCGTATTTAATTCTTCTTCTTGTTTTAGCGTTTTTCCTTTTCATACTAAAGTAAGTGAAAGTAAAGCTTTACGAATTTTGGTCTGATTGGGGTTTCTCTGGGTTTGCCCAATCCTTGCACCATTTTATATTTGAATATCATCAGATTTATTATTTTCTTGTTGTATTTATTTTTCTTTCACCTTACTTACCTATTTTTAATTTAATTGCTCGCTTTAATTATGTATAATTTAACTTTAAATTTGAATACAAATTAAGGGATTTTTCTCGCTATTTTCTTAGAGCTTTGCGCGTATTTATGCCACATTAATGCCAAAAACTAAAAGAATTGGGCGTGCCATGGTTGATGTTGATGCTGTTGACAGTGGCTCAATGGCTCAGTGGCTCATAATGGGTCGACTATGGAAATGCCGTTGACTGCGTGTTTTGGGTCTTTGACTTATTTGGTTTGGTGTTGCGTGTTGTGTCTGTCAAGTGTTCAAGTCTAATAAAAAACAATCGATTGATAATCCTTGCGCAATATGTTCAAGTTTCAAGCGCAGACAACACACACACACACACAGGCAGACAACACACACACACACACACACATACTAGCGCACAAAATTTGTTGTGCTTTTATCAATGTCGCCAGCGTCCCTCGTTTTGGCCTTTCTATTTCTATTTGCCTTATGTGCGTGTCTGTGCATGCTTGTGTGTCTGTTTGCGTGTGTGTGTGTGCGTGTGTGCGTGTGTGGTGTCTATTTCTTTTTAACACGTACTCTACTTATTTAATGTATCCTCTTCGGGGGCAGCAACAACAATGCTTGCCTGCTTTCAGGCGGTCAGATAGGACACAAAACAAAACAAAACAAAACAGGAAAAATGTCCTTTACTTTCTGCAAATGTT